CCACTACTGACATCTGCATGAATACTGCTGTAGGAGCTGAGTTCATTTAGCAAGTACAGTTTAAATACATGTTATCTAAAATAATTCCACAATGGAACAAGAAGACATACTACAAGGCAACTATCAAAGTTTATACTGAGAATATTAACTGATTCATTGCATAATAAATCATTGCAAGATGACTGAATCTTAAAGGGGCAATCTGGAATTTGTACATTAAATGTTAGACTTTTAAGCTAATTCTACATTGCATGAATTTGAGAGCTGTTACATTACCTCGGCTGTTATCCACAGACATTACAGCCCTCGGCTGTTATCCACAGACATTACAGCCCTCGGCTGTTATCCACAGACATTACAGCCCTCGGCTGTTATCCACAGACATTGTGGGGTGTCTGGTTTGTTTTTGTTTTCAGTCTTTATGTTTAAAACAGACTACTGATTACAATACATGGTCAATTAACACCCCACAGACACTAGTCTAGTGGATATGGAGCCAGTAACTACAGACACTAGTCTAGTGGATATGGAGCCAGTAACTACAGACACTAGTCTAGTGGATATGGAGCCAGTAACTTGACCTTTTCTGTCAATAGCTTAGTACCACTGCCTTGTCACACTGGCCTGTCAACCTCTCTGTCTGGCTATTTATAACACATAGACACACTGGCCTGTCAACCTCTCTGTCTGGCTATTTATAACACATAGACACACTGGCCTGTGTCACGATCGTCGGATATAGAGGACCAAGGCGCAGCGTGGAAGGTGAACATACTTATTTATTAAATGATACACGAACAAAACAACAAATCGATACGTGACGTCCACAGGTGCAAACCACAAACCAACACGGAACAAGATCCCACAAACACTGTGGGAAAACCACCTGACTAAATATGGTTCCCAATCAGAGACAACCAGCAACAGCTGATACTCGTTGCCTCTGATTGAATACCACTCTGGCCAACATAGATATACAAAAACTAGACTAGACACAACGAGCACAAAACATAAACTCTACACACCCTGGCTCAACTTAAAAGAGTCCCTAGAGCCAGGGCGTGGCAGTACCCCCCCCTAAAGGCGCGGACTGCGACTGCGCCTAAACATCACCGAACAGGGGAGGGCTGGGTGGGCATTCCTCCTCGGAGGCGGTTCCGGCTCCGGGCTTGACCACCACCCTCTACTAACCCCCCCATAGTGCCCCTGGTCTGGTCTAGCCCCACTGGCTGGAGCTGGACTGGACTTCGGTGGAGCGGATTGCTCAGGCTCCGGTGTGAACAGCTGACCGGTAAATGACCAGGCACCGGTGAAACGGGCACGGGCTGGTGATGCGCACCACAGGTTTGGTGCGGGGAGCAGGAACAGGCCGGACCAGGCTGGCGACGCGCACCATTGGCTTGGTGCGGGGAGCAGGAACAGGCCGGGCCGGGCTGGCGATCCGCACCACAGGTTTGGTGCGGGGAGCAGGAACGGGCCGGGCCGGGCTGGCGACGTGCACCATTGGCTTGGTGCGGGGAGCAGGAACAGGCCGGGCCGGGCTGGCGACGCGCACCATAGGCTTGGTGCGAGGGGCAGGAACAGGCCGGGCCGGGCTGGCGACGCGCACCATAGGCTTGGCGCGATGGACAGGAACAGGCCGGACCGTACTGGGAACACACACCACTGGCCTTACACAGGGATCAGGAACGGGCCGGACCGGATTGGCAACACACTTCAGTACCTCTCGCCGTGCCTCTACATTTTCCTTCCCTCTATACACCAATGGCTCCCGTAACCCGGTGGCCTTCTCTCCCCGTCCACCAACTCGCCCCTTATCTGCCTCCAGTGGCCCCGTCGTCCCTGTCATGTGCCCCCCCCCTAAAAATTTCTTGGGGGTGCCCCTCGCCTGTCCGACGACTGCCCGGTTGGCGCCGCTTCTCCTCTCCTGCCTGGGCACGCTGCTTGGTCCTGTTTTGGTGGGATCTTCTGTCACGATCGTTGGATATATAGGACCAAGGCGCAGCTTTGAAGGTGAACATACTTATTTATTAAATGATACACGAACAAAACAACAAATCGATACGTGACGTCCACAGGTGCAAAACACAAACCAACACGGAACAAGATCCCACAAACACTGTGGGAAAACCACCTGACTAAATATGGTTCCCAATCAGAGACAACCAGCAACAGCTGATACTCGTTGCCTCTGATTGAGAACCTCTCTGGCCAACATAGATATACAAACACTAGACTAGACACAACGAGCACAAAACATAAACTCTACACACCCTGGCTCAACTTAAAAGAGTCCCTAGAGCCAGGGCGTGGCAGCCTGTCTGGCTATTTATAACATACACACACGCTCACACGTACACACACAGAGAGTACAGAAGAGGACAGGAGCTATAGTAGTCAGATGGGTGAGTGGTGGTAACACAACACAACACAACACAACAGAACACAACACAGAGATACACAGAGGGTGAGTGGTGGTCATTCTGTTTTATGTTTAATATGGAAATATAACTTTGATTACATTTTAGTATTATTGTGTTGCACTACTGTGATAAGAGAAGTGTGTGTTTTGTGTGACAAGCAAGAGTTTCATAAATACTTAGATAATATGTGACAAAGTTATCAAGGATGTGAATAGAATATATGCTTATTTCAGTTTGTAACACATAGACACACTGGCCTGTCAACCTCTCTGTCTGGCTGTTGATAACACATAGACAGACTTCATGGAGAGTTTGTATCTTTGTTTGCTGTGGAGGAGATTTAATGACGTGTTGTGTTCTGCCTGTTTGTTCTAAAAAAAAGTTAATGATCTGATTAATATTTAATCTCTTTTCATTTTCGTTTATTTTTTTCAGATAATCAGATTTTTGTGAACTGTAGAAAAGTTGTCGATACGGTGAGTTCATTTGATATTTTAATTTTGTCAATGATCATATGATTTGAGGTTTTAATTCTGTACATGACAATGATCATATGATTTGAGGTTTTAATTCTCTACATGACAATGATCATATAATTGTTTGTTTTAATTCTGTACATAACAATGATCATATGATTGTTTGTTTTAAGTCTGTACATGACAATGATCATAATATGATTTGAGGTTTTAATTCTGTACATGACAATGATCATATGATTTGAGGTTTTAATTCTGTACAGGACAATGATCATATAATTGTTTGTTTTAATTCTGTCCATGAGAATGGTCATATGATTTCATCAGTGTTGGAGGATATGGCCTTACACTCTTTTCCTGAATTGAAAGTGATTATTTATTCTCAGCAGACAGTTTATCAGGTTCTCCCATCTAGTACCGGGTCGGAACCCAATTTTACCCCCCGAACAGCCTGAATTCTTTGTTGCAAGGTTCTACAAGGTGTCAAAAACATTCCACAGGGATGCTGGTCCGTGATGATGCGATTTGCAGTTGCTGCAAATTGGACGGACGTACAGTATATTCAACAGCCCGTTCCATCTCATCCCAAAGATGCTCTATTGGGTTGCGGTCTGGGGACTGTGCCGGCCCCTCAACTAAATTGAACTCCCTGTCATGTTCCAGGCAACGATTTTCCATTCCTCAATTGTCCAGTGTTGGTGATCGTGTACTCATTGGAGACGCTTCTTCTTGTTTTTAGCTGATAGGAGCGGAAACCGGTGTGGTCGTCTGCTGCAATAGCCCATCGTGACAAGGATCGTCGAGATGCCGTTCTGCACACCGGTGTTATTTGTCTGTTTGTGGCCTGACTGTTAGCGTAAACGATTCTTGACATTCTCCTTGACCTCTGATCAACGAGCTGCTGAATGGATGTTTTTTGTTTGTTGCACCATTCTCTATAAACCCCAGACAGCTGTGAAAAGCCCAGGAGGAACCAGGGCAATCAAAGTCTCTTAGGTCACTAGTTTTACCCATTCTAACGTTCAATTGAACAGTAACTGAATGCCTCAATGCCTGTCTGCCTATTTTACATAGCCATGGCCATGTGACTGTTAAGTGTGCCTTGAATTCTAAATAAATCACTGACAGTGTCACCAACAAAACACCTCCTCCTCCATACTTTATGGTGGGAATTACACATGCAGAGCTCATCCATTCACCCACACAGCATCTCACAAAGACACGGCAGTTGGAACCAAAAATCTTCAATTCGGACTCCAGACCAAAGCACAAATTTCCACCGGTCTAATGTCCATTGTTCGTGTTTCTTGGCCCTGGCAGGTCTCTTATTATTATTGGTGTCCTTTAGTAGTGGTTTCTTTGCAGCAAATCGACCATGAAGGCCTGATTCACACAGTCTCCTCTGAACAGTTGATGTTGAGATGTGTCTGTTACTTGAACTCTGTGAAGCATTTATTTGGGATGCAATTTCTGAGGCTTGTAACTCTAATGAACTCTGGGTCTTCCATTCCTGTGGCGGTCCTCATGAGAGCCAGTTTCATCATAGCTCTTGATGGTTTTTGTGACTGCACATGAAGAAACGTTCAAAGTTCTTGACATTTTCCGTATTGACTGACCTTCATGTCTTAAAGTAATGATGGACTGTCGTTTCTCTTTGCATATTTGAGCTGTTCTTGCCATAACATGGACTTGGTCTTTTACCAAATAGGGCTATCTTCTGTATCTTCTGAGTCCACCTGTGGCCAATTCAATTGTTTGGACATGATTTAGAAGGAACATCACCGTTTACAGTGCATGTCAGAGCAGAAACTATACCATGAAGTCTATACTATATACTTTACTATATACTATACTTTTCAAGGTGTTGGGGATCATGGATATATTTTTCAAGGTGTTGGGGATCATGACTAGACAGCAAATTCAAATCTCAAAACTGGGAACATTCATTGTCTTCTCTCTTTCTGTGTCTGTCTATCTCTCACTCTCTCTCTCTCTCTCTCTCTCTCTCTCTCTCTCTCTCTATCTCTTTCCCCATCTCTATCTATCTATCTATCTATCTATCTATCTATCTATCTATCTATCTATCTATCTCCATCCCAAGGTAAAGATGCCCCCAGCAGGTCTGCATCATCACTGTGAGAGGTGCTCCAGCCTCCACTGCCAAGCCCCTGTGAACACCTCTGTCTCCTGCGTGGTCATTAAGTGTCGTCTGCATTGTGGCGCTGCCTTCCATATGTGTAAGGAGAAGGAGCACCAGTTACTGTGTCCCAATGAGATGGTCCCCTGCCTCAACGTTGACTACGGCTGTCCCTTCACCCTGCTCCGCCACAGGCTAGCCAAGCACCTGGAGGTCTGCCCCGCCAGTACTGTTATCTGCTCTCAGCAATGGATCCGCTTCCCAGTGCCAGACACGGCCATCTACAGGTTTGTTAAGTTGTGTTTTGTGTTGTGCAGTGTTGTGAGTAGTTGATGTTTGTTCTGTCAAACTGGGTTTCACACCTCATGATTTATGGCAGGAGGTAATACAATTAGGTAATTAAGATAGATAACCATGTGGTCGCCATATTTATTTATTTTATTTCACCTTTATTTAATCATGTAAGCCAGTTGAGAACAAGTTCTCATTTACAACTGCGACCTGGCCAAGACCAAGCAAAGCAGTGCAATAAAAACAACAACACAGAGTTACATATGGGGTAAAACAAAACATACAGTCAATAACACAATAGAAAATCTATATACAGTGTGTGCAAATGGTGTTTTCTGCGTAGAGGTGGATCTGAGAGTCACCAGCAGCAAGAGCGACATTATTGATATACGCAGAGAATAGAGTCGGCCCAAGAATTGAACCCTGTGGCACCCCCATAGAGACTGCCATAGGTCCAGACAACAGGCCCTCCAATTTGACACATTGAACACTATCTGAAAAGTAGTTGGTGAACCAGGCGAGGCAGTCATTTAAAAAACCAAGGCTATTTAGTCTGCCAATAAGAATGCGGTGGTTGACAGAGTCGAAAGCCTTGGCCAGGTCGATGAAGACGGCTGCGCAGTACTGTCTTTTATCGATCGCGGTTATTATATCATTTAGGACCTTGAGCGTGGCTGAGGTGCACCCATGATCAGCTCGGAAACCAGATTGCATAGCGGAGAAGGTACGGTGGGATTCAAATACTTTCGAAAGGCAGGGCAGGATGGATATAGGTCTGTAACAGTTTGGATCTAGAGTGTCACCCCCTTTGAAGAGGGGGATGACCGCGGCAGCTTTCCAATCTATCGGGATCTCAGACGATACGAAAGAGAGGTTGAACAGGCTAGTAATAGGGGTTGCGACAATTTCGGCGGCTAATTTTAGAAAGAAAGGGTCCAGATTGTGTAGCCCAGCTGAGTTTTAGGGGTCCAGATTTAGCAGCTGTTTCAGGACTATCTGAATTTGGGTGAAGGAGAAGTGAGGGGGGGGGCATGGGCAAGTTGCAGTGGAGGGTGCAGAGCTGGTGGCCGGGGTAGGGGTAGCCAGGTGGCAAGCATGGCCAGCCTTAGCAAAATGCTTATTGAAATTCTCGATTATCGTAGATTTATCGGTGGTGACAGTGTTTCCTAGCCTCAGTGCAGTGGGTAGCTGGAAGGAGCTCTTATTCTCCATGGAATTTACAGTGTCCCAAAACTTTTTGGAGTTAGTGCTACAGGATGCACATTTCCGTTTGAAAAAGCTAGCCTTTGCTTTCCTAACTGATTGTGTATATTGGTTCCTGACTTCCATGAAAAGTTGCATATTGCGGGGGCTGTTCGATGCTAATGCAGTACGCCACAGGATGTTTTTGTGCTGATCAAGGGCAGTCAAGTCTGGGGTGAACCAGGGGCTATATCTGTTCTTAGTTCTGCATTTTTTGAATGGGGCATGCTTGTTTAAGATGGAGAGGAAAGCACTTTTGAAGAACATTCCTCTACTGACGGAATGAAGTCAATATCCATCCAGGATACCTGGGCCAGGTCAATTAGAAAGGCCTGCTCGCTGAAGTGTTTTAGGGATCGTTTGACAGTGATGAGGGGTGGTCGTTTGACCGCCGACCCATTACGGACGCAGGCAATGAGGCAGTGATTGCTGAGATCCTGGTTGAAGACAGTGGAGGTGTATTTCGAGGGTAAATTAGTCAGGATGATATCTATGAGGGTGCCCATGTTTACGGATTTAGGGTTGTACCTGGTAGGATCCTTGATAATTTGTGTGAGATTGAGGGCATCTAGTTTAGATTATAGGACGGCCGGGGTGTTAAGCATATCCCAGTTTAGGTCACCAATTAATACGAACTCTGAGGATAGATGCGTGGCAAGCAATTCACAAATGGGGGCTGAGGGGGGTCTGTAGCAAGCGGCAACATTGAGAGACTTATTTCTGGAAAGGTGGATTTTTAGAAGTAAAAGCTCAAACTGTTTGGGCACAGACCTGGATAGTATGATAGAGCTCTGCAGGCTATCTCTACAATAGATTGCAACTCCACCCCCTTTGGCAGTTCTATCTAGATGGAAAATGTAGTTCGGGATAAGAAATATCTGCATTTTTGGTGGCCTTCCTAAGCCAAGATTCAGACACTGCTAGAACATCAGGGTTGGCAGAGTGTGCTAATGCAGTGAATAACTCAATCTTGGGGAGGAGGCTTCTGATGTTAACATGCAAGAAACCAAGGCTTTTACGGTTACAGAAGTCAACAAATGATAGCGCCTGGGGGGTAGGAGTGATACTGGGGGCTACAGGGCCTGGGTTAACCTCTACATTACAAGAGGAACAGAGGAGGAATAGAGTAAGGATACGGCTAAAGGCTTTAAGAACTGGTCTTCTAGTGCTTTGGGTACAGAGAATAAAAGGGGCAGATTTCCGGGCGTTGTAGAATAGATTCAGGGCATTATGGACAGACAAGGATATGGACGGATATGAGTACAGTGGAGGCTCACCTAAGCATTGGGTAACGATGAAAGAGATAGCATCACTGGAGGTACCGATTGAGCCGGTCTCCGCGTGTATGGGGAGTGGGACAAAGAAGCTATCTGAGGCAGGTTGAGCAGGATTGGGGGCTTTACAGTGAAATAGTACATTAAGAACTAGCCCAAACAGCAATAAGCAAACCATATTGACATGGGAGAGAGGCATAACGCAATCGCAGGTGTTATTCGAGAGCGCTAAGACAACAACTGTCTTGTGATCTACATCGGTTGCTGGGGAAATGGCCAGTCAGGCGTTTGAGCGCCAGGTGATGTATTGAAGAGAGAAAGAGGCAGGAACTGGTGCAAGAACATTTAAAATCAATGCATTAAAACTGAAGGACTTATGACATGTTTATATAACTTGAACCATGATGTGATATTTCTCTTCCGATCCTCTTACATCTTAAAAAAAGTATAATGTGGATTTTGCTGTAACATAAAACGTGTGTAAATTACACAAGGAGTGTTTGGTATCTGCAGGCTACGTGTGTGTGTGTGTGTGTGTGTGTGTGTGTGTGTGTGTGTGTGTGTGTGTGTGTGTGTGTGTGTGTGTGTGTGTGTGTGTGTGTGTGTGTGTGTGTGTGTGTGTGTGTGTGTGTGTGTGTGGACCCAGGTGTCAGGGGCTTGAGGGGTAGTGTGTTGTATATTGTAATATATGTGAGACAAAAGGCTTAGTGCTTTTGATCAAGTAGAGTCCTTGGAACAATTTTGGGACAAAGATTTCATCAGTGGTAGTGTATTGTGTTCAGCTTTTTGTGGAGCCAATTGTCTATTGTGACTTTTGATTAAGTTTGTGGGATGAATAGGAGGGGATTTGGTTGAGGGGCCTGATTAAACTGTTTTGAATGGTGTGTGTTTTGGGGTCTGGGGTGAAATCCAACATGGTTAAGAACATTCACACCTGGTCCTGTTGGTGAATTAACAAGCAGTTGTCTGGACTGTTGTGCCACGAAGGGATCACGCGCCCTTGGTTGTGGGCCACATCAATGGAATGAAAGGGGGGAGGTCAGCCATAAAATGTGTGTAACATAAAACATTTGTAAATTACACAAGGAGTGTTTGGTAGCTACAGGCTATGTGTGTGTGTGTGTGCGCGCGTGTGTGTGTGTGTGTGTGTGTGTGTGTGTGTGTGTGTGTGTGTGTGTGTGTGTGTGTGGACCCAGGTGTCAGGGGCTTGAGGGGTAGTGTGTTGTGTATTGTAATATATGTGAGACAAAAGGCTTAGTGCTTTGATCAAGTAGAGTCCTTGGAACAATAGTTGGGTCTCAGCTTTTATAGCAAAGTACAACCTTTGTCTACGTGGCAGTTTAGCAGATGTATGAGAACCTGGTGGGAACATAGCGTTTAAACAATTGATAATGGCAGGTAGTTTAGTGGTTAAGAGTGTTGTGCCAGTAACCGAAAGGTCGCTGGTTCTAATCCCTGAGCCGACTAGGTGAAAAATCTGTTGATGTGCCCTTGAGCAAGGCACTTAACCCTACTCTCTCTGGATAAGAGTGTCTGCTAAATGACATAAATGTAATAATGGCAGTTTTGTTACCCCTTTCTGCTGATATCTAGGCACTGCTGCTCAAGCTAGCTTCTGTTCTATAATAATAATAATATGCCATTTGGCAGACGCTTTTATCCAAAGCGACTTACAGTCATGCATGCATACATTTTTTGTGTATGGGTGGTCCCGGGGATCGAACCCACTACCTTGGCGTTACAAGCACCGTGCTCTACCAGCTGAGCTACATATCTCGGACACAGCTGTGTGCTTGACAGATACCAAAAGAACAGGATGGACCAAAGTTCCCCCTCAAATGGCCCTTTGTCTTTGGCCGCGTGACTAAATTGCACAAAGACAGAGTCGAAAAACACTATCTTCTTCTTACATGACCTTAGAACAGAAAATGGAAAAGGACAGGTTAAGGCTTATACAGCTCATGTGCATAACAGAGTTAGTAATTTTCCACCATAGTATCCCTATAAATTGCAGGACTTGCAAACAGGCATCAGATCAAGTTCTCTTCTGATCGACGAGACAGAAGGAATCAACCCAGAGATCCTGCCTTCGATACTAACAGACAGAGTTCACAATGCATCCCGGTGGGGATAAGAAAAAGAATTCGCTCACTGCACAGATTCAACTAATAGAGGGGGAGAGGGGGAGAGGGGAGAGAGGGAGAGAGAGAGGCTATTTTCGTCCTGCTGGCTTCATCAGCTCTACTGTCTCGAGAGATTTGGACAACGTTTTCTTAGCTTCATTCCATACTAGCGGAATCCAACTGAGAGGCACCAGCGACACACACGTAAATCATCCTGTTACATTCTTCCTATTCTATGAAAGTGGCATTGTGTGTGTAACGTGGGGGAAGTTACTGAGTAATTGTAAGATGGCAGGTCTAATTTACCAATCAATTATCAATACTGTCTCAGCAATGTCCACATTTGGGTACTAACTAATAGCATAGCCCATTGTCAGTTCCTGGTTGCTGAAACGCTCTAGACTTTCACAGTTGTGAAAGCCATGTCACATTTCCTCTCCCAATGAACATAGTAACTGACAGTTGATTAAGACTATTGTTGATATAGGATTAATGGTATAATGATAACTATTGTATAGAGTTAATTCAAGGGGTCCCACCCTTAATGGTGCCCCTCTTAGATTAACTTGGATAGGATAACCAAATTAATCAAATAAATCAGATCAAGTAATTAATCAGTCAATTTTCTTGAATAACCAAGTCACAACAGGACTTGGATGTTTTATTTTATTACAATTTCTACAGGTATGTGGAGCATTTTCATTTTTCTAAGCACAGAAATCAGATCATCAAAATGGCTCACGTTTTACAACTCTAAGCACATTTTTTATTATAACAAACAAATTCACAAAGTCACTTGATCACTGCACCAAATCACTTTTTCAATTTGGATATATATTCAATCTAAGTATCTGCTTTTGAAAATGCAATATTTACTTTACTTTTGATATGATTTTCTTGTCATTTGTTAACAATACAATTAACTACCACATAATCAAACTGCTCAAAACGGATAACTACTGAACCAATATGATGTAAATGTAACGTTGAGGGAGTCAGGAAGCAGGTGCATTTAGTTCGTTATTTAGTTTAATAATAATGATTATGGAACGATACAAACCAAGGAAACACGAACAATAATAACCTTTTCATTTAATTTACCCCTCTTAATTTCGCCTACTGTTCTGACTTGGTGGTGCACATGTAGCCTATAACCTGTTTTAGAGAAATGTAATCATTGAATATTGTAAGAGCTTTCATTGTCTGCTTACAGTGGCTTCCGAAAGTATTCACCCCCGTTGGCATTTGTCCTATTTTGCTGACTTACAACCTGGAATTAAAATTGATTTTTGGGGGGTTTGAATCATTTGATTTACACAACATGCCTACCACTTTGATGATGCAAAATATTTTTTCTTGTGAAACAAACAACTTGAAAACTTGAGCGTGCATAACTATTCACCCCCCACAAAGTCAATACTTTGTAGAGCCACCTTTTGCAGCAATTACAGAACTCAGAGGGTTTTCTTTAATGGAAGCTTTCTCTAATGTCAAACATGTAAATGTGGTGTACCACAGGGCAGCTCTCTGGGCCCTCTACTCTTTTCTATTTTTACCAATGACCTGCCACTGGCATTAAATAAAGCATATATGTCCATGTATGCTGATGATTCAACCACAGCTAATGGTCAGCAACCACAGCTAATGAAGTCACTGAAACCCTTAACAAAGAGTTGCAGTCTGTTTTGGAATGGGTGGCCACTAATAAACTGGTCCTGAACATCTCTAAAACTAAGAGCATTGTATTTGCTACAAATAATTCTCTAAGTCCTAAACCTCAGCTGAATCTGTTAATGAATGGTGTGGCTGATGAACAAGTTGAGGAGACTAAATTACTTGGTGTTACCTTAGATTGTAAACTGTCATGGTCAAAACATATACATTCAATGTTTGTAAAGATGGGGAGAGGTCTGTACGTAATAAAGAGATGCTCTGCCTTTTTGACACCACACTCCACAAAGCAAGTCCTGCAGGCTCTAGTTGTATCTTATCTTGATCATTGTCCAGTCATGTGCTACAGCTAGCCCAGAACTGAGCGTCACGTATTAATACTATGAAGGAAGACCTAGTTAAGCTGCAGCTATTAATAAAATCTTGTGGATATAGTCAAACGTTTTTAGGGTTTCTGAACAGACCACAACCCACCAATCAAACCGGTTATGCCATGTCCCACCACCCCTGCTAACCCACCCATCAAACCGGTTATGCCATGTCCCACCACCCCTGCTAACCCAAAATGGATCAAAGTCACAATCAGGATCACAACAAGCCCCTCACACCTGGGTCCAAACACACACACACGCGCACACGCACACACACACACACACACACACACACACACACTAACCCTTACATATCAAAGTAATCAGATCAAAGGTGTTTACATACAACACGAGGCGACCACATGGTTATCTATTTGAATTACCTAACTGTATTACCTCCTACCATAAATCATGAGGTGTGAAACCCAGTTTGACAGAACAAACCCTACATCAACTACTGTCTTGCCGTGTTATGCTATGTCATGTTTTTGTGTGTGCTGCGTCATATTGAATACTGAATAATGAACTAAGACAGATACATTACTATGGGCTGTACAGGTTTCAACATAAATAAACAGATACACTGTGTTCTAGGTTTGTGTTTTTGTATGGATGATTCCGCTGCAAAACCGAATTCTCCCTTGGAGTTACTTAATACAGTTTTCAGAATCAGCTTAATTCGTCAAGTACATTTTTTTTTTTGTACCAGGAATTTTACCTGGTGAAATGATGTTGACAGCATAGAAAAAATATACAGACAGAATATGAATGGATTTACACATGATCGATATTTCACTACTACAGGACCGGCCTGGCTGACCCAGATCATCAGAAGCAGCTGAACGTGTCTATGGCCCTGAGAGACCAGGAGCTCCTCTTCAGATGCCTCAAGATGAAGACCGTCTTCCCTGAGCTGATGGAGAAGGTAATTTTAGTCAATAGGCTGATCTGCTCTGAATTTGATATATTTTTTGTAAGTATTTTTTAAATAGTTTACTAAAGTTTTCTGCATCGAACTGGCTGTCTTTTCTGAAGGTGGAAGAAGAACCTGCTCAGAAAGAGATAGATGTAGGTGTCACCAGCTCTGCAGGTGAAGGTCGTAGTTCATTAGACCCTGGTGAAGCAATTGAGGATGGAGATAATGGTTATGGTTATGGAGATGGGATGGAGCTGGAGAAGGAGCTGAGTCAGGAGGAGAGGGAGGCCTTGTCCAATAACAAGGACATGAAGAGACGTCAACAAACCGTGAACAACATGGAAAAGAAGATGAATCTTGGTGAAGAAGAGAAAGCACGCAGCTCATCAAATGGTCTTCGAAAGGTGGAGGGGGATGGATCATCCAAGAAGTGCCAGGAGAATGGAGCCACCGCAAGTGTTGTAGATGTCACTAGGTCTGGCCTTGCACCGTGGCAGGACGGCGTCGTGGAGAGACTGCGTAGAGAGGTCACCATTGCAGATTTCAACATGTATCTGTTGCACCATGGAGCCATGCTGATCAACTTCGGTCAACTTGATGCCTGTACTCCGAGGGAGAAGGACTTTGTTTACGGAAACCTGGAGCCCGTAGCAGTTCAAACTGTGCGCACGTTCAATGTTCCCACGAGCTACCGTCCGAAACGGATTCACATGAACAACCCCTGGTCACCGATGGTCAACAAAAGCGTTGATACAGCTGATCTAGGGGGTTTCGGTAGAAGATCTTCCAAAGTGTGATGAAGTCAATGCAACTTTGTTGTGCTTCTTGGAGAAAGAGCTAAAGGGCCACAACATCTCAGAGGGTGGAGGAGCAGACGGCCTCTATGTAGACGTCGGAACACAGACTTACAACTTCCCCTCTGCTCCGTTCAAACCTGAAGCCTCGCTGGCGGACATCATCACAGACCAACACAAAGGCCTCTATGTCCAGATCCAAACTGAGGACATCACCAGAAGACACAACTCTACCAACTCTGCCTTTAGTTACCTCTGTGGCCACGTCTTCCGCCGCGACGAGTACCACACTCACTTAAAGAACGTGCACTTGGACATCCAGTCCTGCCTGAACGGCTGGTTCGAGCAGCGCTGCCCACTAGCATACCTGGGCTGCAACTACAGCCAGAGGAGGTTCCATCCTGCAGGTCAGAAAGCCATGGTCACCTACCGCCAGGATCTCAGCACCTTCAGCCTCAAACCAGAGGGCTCCTCGACACTGTCCGACTCTGGAAAGACCATCACCATCACCTCAGACAGGAAACGTCCTCGTAACCTGGACCCGTTGAGCAGACTTCCCTTTGAGATCCTCCAGCATGTGGCAGGGTTCCTGGACAGCTTTACCCTGTCTCAGCTGTCCCAGGTGTCCCAGTTGATGAGGGAGGTGTGTGTCACACTGCTAGAGGAGAGGGGGATGGTCTATCTGAAATGGGAGAAGAAGACCTACTCACATGGAGGAACATCATGGAAATGCAGAAAAAAGGTGTGTTTTTTAACTGTTTTTGTTTTGTTTTGTTGCATTTATAAATAATAATACAGGAGTTATATAGCACTTTTCAAAGACCCAACAATGCTTACTATGAGATAATACAGTGGCTTGCGAAAGTATTCACCTCCTTGGCATTATTCCAATTTTGTTGCCTTACAACCTGGAATTCAAAAGGATTTTTGGGGGGTTTGTATCATTTGATTTACACAACATGCCTACCACTTTGAAGATGCAAAATATTTTTTATTATGAATGTTTTATTATTATTTTTTATTATGAAACAAACAAGAACTAAGACAAAAAAACAGAACTTGAACGTGCGTAACTATTCTCAAGAATTTCCCTATATTTAGTGCCATCCATCATTCCTTCAATTCTGACCAGTTTTCCAGTCCCTGCCGATGGAAAACATCCCCACAGCATGATGCTGCCACTACCATGCTTCACTGTGGGGATGGTGTTCTTGGGTTGATGAGAGGTGTTGGGTTTGCGCCAGACATAGCATTTTCCATGATGGCCAAAAAGCTCAATTTTAGTCTCATCTGACCAGAGTACCTTCTTCCATATGTTTGGGGAGTCTCCCACATGCCTTTTGGTGAACACCAAACGTGTTTGCTTATTTTTTTCTTTAAGCAATGGCTTTTTTTCTGGCCACTCTTCCGTAAAGCCCAGCTCTGTGGAGTGTACGGCTTAAAGTGGTCCTATGGACAGATACTCCAATCTCCGCTGTGGAGCTTTGCAGTTCCTTCAGGGTTATCTTTGGTCTCTTTGTTGCCTCTCTGATTAATGCCCTCCTTGCCTGGTCCGTGAGTTTTGTTGGGCGGCCCTCTCTTGGCAGATTTGTTGTGGTGCCATATTCTTTCAATTTTTTTAATGATGGATTTAATGGTGCTCCGTGGGATTTTCAAAGTTTCTGATATTCTTTTATAACCTAACCCTGATCTGTAATTCTTCACAACTTCATGGTGCCACTTGCTTGGTGGTGCCCCTTGCTTAGTGGTGTTGCAGACTCTGGGCCTTTCAGAACAGGTGTATATATACTGAGATCATGTGACAGATCATGTGACACTTAGATTGCACACATGTGGACTTTATTTAACTAATTATGTGACTTCTGAAGGTTAATTGGTTGCACCAGATCTTATTTAGGGGCTTCATAGCAAAGGGGGTGAATACATATGCACGCACCACTTTTCCGTTATTAATTTTTTAGAGTTACATTTTTCATTTCACTTCACCAATTTGGACTATTTTGTGTATGTCCATTACATGAAATCCAAATAAAAATCCATTTAAATTACAGGTTGTAATGCAACAAAATATGAAAAACGCCAAGGGGGATGAATACTTTTGCAAGGCACTGTAGTTCAGTTGAAGGGATGGGTGTCATAGAGGTATGTGTATTTCATGTTTGGTGTTGTAGGATCTGCTGTACCCTGCACATGTTCATTTTGGTTTTCACGTTCTAGTAACATTGAATGTCAGTGTAAAGTGAAAGCGGCTACACCAGAATAAACTGGTTTTATAAACCAGAATAAACATGTGTTTGGTTGTAAACCATGTCACTGGTTCTAAACAAAGCCAGAGGGTCACACATGCTCCTGTTGTTGTCTCATACACTGTTTAGTTCTGTCTTCTGACCCACCAGGTCACTTGGTCTATCACTCACTGTGGGATAGCATAGTTAACAGGTCACCCTAATATGGCTGCCCAGTCCTGTATGGCATCCAGCAAACTAACTGCCTGGTATCCACATTCCCTACATCTCTCCTGGACAGAATAATGGTTCCAGCCTAGTCCTATTCCGCATCCCAATCAGCACCCTATTCCATATGGACACTGGTCAAAAGTAGTGCACTATACAGGAAATAGGGTGCCATTTGGATTGCTTCCTAAATATCTGCTGGAAAGAAAAATGGATCCAGCCTAGCACACTATGTAGGGATTCATGCCGTTTGGGAGGCATTTCTAGTCCTATGACAGCTGTTGCATTGTGAAGCTGACTACTCCCCTGACTACTCCCTGTACTCCTCTCAGACAATATTGTCAGTTGTATTACTCATCCAAGTGTTTGACACCAGCCAGTCAGATTATTAGTTCAATTACCCATCCCAACCTAGCTAACGTTAGCGCCCTAGCCACCTAGGTAATCAAATCAAATTGTATTTGCCACAAGTGCAGAATACAACAGGTTTAGACCTTACAGTGAAACGTTAGCCACCTAGCTAACGTTCCATCAAAATTGGAATTCGTAACATATCAGACGTATTTCAAATTTGTAACATATTGTATGAATTGCAATTGTTAACATATCACATGAAATGCATGATGGACATCCACAAATTAATACATACCATATGAAACGTAACTTATCATACTAAATGGAGGGAGACATATTTACGTTTGTTATGTTACGTCTACCCTGAGTCCAGGTTGCACACTAAAGACAGTCATCTCATCATTCACACTGTGGTACCAAATGGTACCCTATCCCCTTTGTAGTGCACTACTTTTCAGCAGGGCCTATAGTGCACTACTAAGGGGATAGGTTGCCATTTGGGATGCATGTATAGACAGCGGGTTGCTAGGAGGCAGGAATAGCTTGGGAGGGAGAAATCTAAACTCCAGACATCACAAAACTTAAACAGAGTATAAACCTGCATACTGAGTAAATGGCTGGAATATTGTACTTCTCTGTTCCAATGTAATATAGCTTTATATCAAGGTTTACAATGCATCCTAACTCATTATACTAAAATGTTATTTTACTATGCTGTACATTTTCCTGGTCACCTGGGTCGACCAGTTATAAGGTTTAGTTATAGGGTCTATTTATAGGGTCCAGTTATAGGGTCTAGTTATAGGGCTAGTTATAGGGTCTAGTGTTTGTCCTGGTTAGATCACATTGTCAAGAGGAACCTGTATAGTAATATCTTCCTCTTTTCTCCTACAGGTGTGGGAGTTTAGCAGTCTGTTTTCCAAGGTGGACAGTTGGTGCTTTGACGACGATGTGGCCTCCATGTCTGAGCACCTGAAGGTCTGCCCTTTCTACCAGAGAGAGGAGCTCCGTAAGCCTGTAAAGCTAGCCAGTATGGAGGGGGCCAGAGAGAGACCCCAGGGCCAGAGTCTACTGGACCTGCTCCAGGAGTATGACCTGCCTCTAGCAGACCCATAATGGATATTATGAGGAATAGGCATGAGGTAGCCCAGCTATCCTGTAGCAGCTATCCTGTCCTGCAGCAGCTATCCTGTCCTGCAGCAGCTATCCTGTCCTGCAGCAGCTATCCTGTAGCAGCTATCCTGTAGCAGTTATCCTGCAGCTATCCTGTCCTGCAGCAGCTATCCTGTAGCAGCTATCCTGTAGCAGTTATCCTGCAGCTATCCTGTCCTGCAGCAGCTATCCTGTAGCAGCTATCCTGCAGCAGTTATCCTGCAGCAGCTATCATGTAGCAGCTATCCTGTCCTGGAGCAGCTATCCTATCCTGCAGCAGCTATCCTATCCTGTAGCATCTATCCTGTCTTGTAGCAGCTATACTGTCCTGCCGCAGCTATCCTGTGTAGCAGCAATCCTGTAACAGCTATCCTGTCCTGCAGCAGCTATCCTGTAGCAGCTATCCTGTCATGTAGCAGCTATTCTACAGCAACTGTCCTGTAGCAGCTATGCTGTCCTGCAGCAGCTATCATACAGCAGCTACCCTGTACGTTAGCAGCTATCCTACAGCAGCTGTCCTGCAGCAGCTATCCTGTACATTAGCAGACATCCTGACAGCAGCTATCCTGTAGCAGCTATCCTGTAGCAGCTATCCTGTTGCAACTATCCTGCATCAGCACTAGAGCATCCTGTAGCAGCTATCCTGTACAGCAGCGTGTATCCTGTAGCAGCTATCCTGTAGCAGCTATCCTGACAGCTATCTCGTAGCAGCTATCCTGTAGCAGCTATCCTGTAGCAGCTATCCTGTTGCAACTATCCTGCATCAGCTATCCTGTAGCAGCTATCCTGTAGCAGCTATCCTGTAGCAGCTATCCTGTAGCAGCTATCCTGTAGCATCTATCCTGTAGCAGCTATCCTGTAGCAGCTATCCTGTAGCAGCTATCCTGTAGCAGCTATCCTGTAGCAGCTATCCTGTAGCATCTATCCTGTAGCAGCTATCCTGTTGCAGCCATCCTGTAGCAGCTATCCTGTAGCAGCTATCCTGTAGCAGCTATCCTGTAGCAGCTATCCTGTAGCAGCTATCCTGTAGCAGCTATCCTGTAGCAGCTATCCTGTAGCAGCTATCCTGTAGCATCTATCCTGTAGCAGCTATCCTGTAGCAGCTATCCTGTAGCAGCTATCCTGTAGCAGCCATCCTGTAGCACTATCCTGTAGCACTATCCTGTAGCAGCTATCCTGTAGCATCTATCCTGCAGCAGCTATCCTGTAGCAGCTATCCTGTAGCAGTATCTAGTCCTGTAGCAGCTATCCTTCCTCCTGTGCAGCCATCCTGTAGCAGCTATCCTGCAGCAGCTATCCTGCAGCAGCTATCCTGTAGCAGCTATCCTGTTGCAGCCATCCTGTAGCAGCTATCCTGTAGCAGCTATCCTGTTGCAGCTATCCTGTTGCAGCCATCTGGCAGCAGCTATCCTAGCTTGATCTTTCCCTTTTTCAAAAGACTCATACTACCATCCTCTGGAATTAGAAGAAAGGTGCATGAACTCTCTCAGAAATGTGGCCACGTAAAGCCATGGATTTGCCAAGCATCTGCCCTTCCATTCCATACACTTGGTGGACCAGAGGGTGATCACATGAGGGATAACAATGCCATACACTTTCTATTTCCCTTCTCTTCACAGCCGGGCCAGTTGGACACAACAACAAGAGATATAAATATATCATTCGTCAGATGATAGGCGACATGATTGATCTGCCTGGAAGACAGTTAAAACGCCTCTATATGCCTGCCTCTAATAACAACATCATGTCCTTCTCTGTTCCTGCAACAAAAATACTCAATGGGTAAATCAACAGAATGACTCAAGATTCATTCCCCTTCGAGAAACCATAAACCTTTATTCATTCATTTCTCAAGACAAAATTGAAATGCATGCGCATGGTGTATTGGGGTGAATGTTGGCATACAGCATCTCTTCACTGCTGTGTCTCTGACAGCTCTGGGTTGTGTAGCCTGTCAATGACCTGCATCAGCATGCGGTTGCAGAGGGCAGCGTAGGGGTTCAGGACCACCACCTGTTGCTGGGCGAACCAAAGTCCTCCCTGGCAGGCCAGCCTCAGCAGCAGGCCTCTCCCACCCCACTCAGAGAGATGGCATGCTTCATGCCCTCTAGGGCTCCTGTGGGAAATACAGGACAGTGTAATATTCAATCAACTGCACATAAAGGAAAACAGTGAGAGGAACAGGTTGTGGTGTGTAGGGCTGTTACGGTGACAATATTACCGCCACACCGGCGGTCACCAGTCATGAAGGCAGTCAAATTCCACTCTCTGATGCTGCTGATGGTCATTAGTATCCTACCAAACTCACTAACTGCCTGGTACTCAGCACTCTACTGTCCCTCTAATCACTCTGACATCAATGCAAATGCAATTGAAAATCTAATCAAACACTTCATGAGAGCCCATGAGCTCATGTTGCGCAACATTTCTATAGGCCACGCAATTACGGGAGAAAACAGAGTTTTGATGGCCTCTATTAAAAAGAGGAGGATCCCATCAGCTTTCTAGATTTATTTCTCAACTTTCCTAATATTAAGCAAATACTATGCACATTGCTTATCTTTACAACAAGCGTATAGCCTACCTGGCTGGCATGAAAATGAACCACAGGAAAAGTGTCCTCCATTTGCTATTTAAGTGTAGAGATGACGTGAATTTTTTCCCCCTGCCCCTGTTTCGAGACCGGTGCATGATAATGTTCCATTCTAAATCAAAACAAATTTCACACGTATTTATTTAGTATATGTAAAGACCAGATTAAATCAAGAATAGTCTGATGGGTGACAATATGGTGTGTGTTAGTTTTAACAGGGTTGATGTATCTCCTACTTTATTAAAGGACAGTATCACCTCCTTTAACACCAACACAAGGGTGTGATCAAACCGGTGTGATAAGAGCATTTATTTAGAACGTCCAGTTTCAATTGACGCAACATTCAGCATTTGAACTGGCCACATTGTTTTTTCACAGAGACATTTTGCACAAACTCAGTCCTTACAATGTTATGTCCAGAATGTGACCTGTTTATTTTTGGATGCAATGTTCAGAAGTAGCAACTGCATAACACAATCATCCAAACCGGAAAATGTAAGCTACATTAGTCCTAGTGCTAGCTGAGGAAAGATTGACCTAACACAAGCGGTCATACTTAGCTAACTCTCGGCTGACAGAAACCATAATATGAATTAGCTAATAGAAATTGCTATTTACAATTCATCATATCATGGGTGAGGTCACCATTGATCTAAATAATTCAGTAAAACACTTTCAAAAATCAAAAGTAATCAGACGATGTTTAGTTTATGCGCGCCACCATGTTTTTTTCTTCTCCGTGTCAACCAAAGATAAGAAGAGGAGACAAGATGAGTGTGGTCTGTTCGCAGTATTTAATTTGAAGGGGTTGTGTCGTCTATCATCATTCACTTCCCTTCATTCACTTCCGGAAGTTTACTCTAAAGATGAGTGAATCATCCCTTCACCTAATTTTGTTACAACATCTTCGGTCTGACAGACGTTCACGTGACACCCAGAATGCAATGTATAATGTCAACAAACATGGCACCAGACAGAGCATTAGCTCATCATAATCAGTACAACCTTCAAAAAAGTATTTTATGCACATCATATGAGTGTCCATTACAATCTATGCAAGAATCTGAATGCATGATTTGTCACCAGTACATGAAAATGTGAATAAAACAGTAAATACATTATGCTCCATACATGCATACATTACATTTACACTTACATCATTTAGCAGACGCTCTTATCCAGAGCGGCTTACACATTGGTGCATTCAACTTATGATAGCAAGTGGGACAACCACTTTTTTTCTTCTTTTTTTTTTTTATGGGGGGGGGGGTGGGGTAAGGGGGAGTAGAAGGATTGCTTTATACTATTCCAGGTATTCCTTAAAGAGGTGGAGTTTCAAGTGTCTCCGGAAGGTGGTCAGTGACTCCACTGTCCTGGCGTCGTGGGGGAGCTTGTTCCACCATTGGGGTGCCAGAGCAGCGAATAGTTTTGACTGGGCTGAGCGGGAACTGTGCTTCCGCAGAGGTAGGGGAGCCAGCAGGCCAGAGGTGGATGAACGCTCCTGAGTACTCCTGAGTGGCGCAGTGGTCTAAGGCACTGCATCGCAGTGCTAACTGTGCCACTAGAGATCCTGGTTCGAATCCAGGCTCTGTCACAGCCCGCCGCGACCGGGAGACTCATGGGCGGCGCACAATTGGCCCAGCGTCGTCCAGGGTAGGGGAGGGAATGGCCGGCAGGGATGTAACTCAGTTGATAGAGCATGGCGTTTGCAACGCCAGGGTTGTGGGTTCGATTCCCACGGGGGGCTAGTATAAAAATATGTAGTCGCTCTGGATAAGAGCATCTGCTAAATGACTAAAATGTAAACGCAATGCCCTCGTTTGAGTGTAGGTCTGATCAGAGCCTGAAGGTAAGGAGGTGCCGTTCCCCTCACAGCTCCATAGGCAAGCACCATGGTCTTGTAGTAGATGCGAGCCTCAACTGGAAGCCGGAGGAGCTGGGTGACGTGAGAGAACTTGGGAAGTTTGAACGCCAGACGGGCTGCAGCGTTCTGGATGCATACGGTATGCTACAGTAGAAACGACAACACGATATACAGAAAATAAAGCACTTAGTTTTAACAGAGTTAATGTATCTCCTACTTTATTAAAGGACATGTGTGCTAGTTTTAACAGGGTTAATGTATCTCCTACTTTTTTAAAGGACATGTGTGTTAGTTTTAACAGGGTCAATGTATCTCCTACTTTAAAGGACGTGCAATTTTGTGTCAATGTCCAATGATAAATGTCCTGTGGATGTAAATGATCCACATCAACTGTCCTGTGGATGTAAATGAACAGTGTTAAAACACATTATTTAAATGGTAAAATTAAAAGTGTTGTGGCATAAAAGAGGAAACAGCAACAACAGTGATGTCACCAGAAGTGAATGA